ATGTTAAAAACAGTAAAGAAATGCAAAAAATTAACCTATGAGATAAAATTTTTTCAAAATTAATTTACTCAAAAGTTTCTTCATGCCCCTTTTAATGAATTCCACCTCCCCCAATCACCAGCCCCAACTGATCTGTTTTTTGTGGAAGGACTTTGAATTTTCTTCTTTTCGTTTATCACTGTCTTATAATATTTTCCAGTGAACGTATACTTCTTTTTTAATAAATAAAGAAAAAAGATATTTTAAAATTTTAAAATAAATACTATGTTAAAAACAGTAAAGAAATGCGAAAAATTAACCTATGAGATAAAATTTTTTCCAAATTAATTTGATCAGTGACCTCCAAGGATTATTATAACAATCTTCTCACCCAAAATGGAAAAAAGGAGATAGTCCTTTTCAGAAGGTCATAGATATATGATATTGATGTCAATTTATTATTTAGGACAATCATTTAAATTACTCCTTTCCTGGGCTGGCCCGGTGGCACACTGGAGAGTGCGCCGCTTGGGAGCGTGGCAGCGCTCCCGCCGAGGGTTCGGATCCCATGTGGAGACCAGTTCCCGCTCACTGGCTGAGCGCGGTGCGGGCACAGCGCCGAGGGATGCGATCCCGTTGCCGGTCCCCGGTGCGGGCGCGACACCGAGAGTTGCGATCCCGTTACCGGTCAGTAAAAAAAAAAAAAGACAAAAAAAAAGGAAAATAAATAAATAAAATCAGTGACCTCCAAGGATTATTATAACAATCTTCTCACCCAAAATGGAAAAAAGGAGATAGCCCTTTTCAGAAGGTCATAGATATATGATATTGATGTCAATTTATTATTTAGGACAATCATTAGGAAAATAAATAAATAAATAAATTACTCCTTTCCTTCAATTCTTTTTATTTATTTATTTATTTTGGCAGCTGGCAAGTATGAGGAGCCAAACCTGTGACCTTGGTGTCATAAGGCTGCACTCTAACCAACTGAGCTAACCAGCCAGCCTCCCAACTCTGTTTTAAATACTTCCCAGACATACGTGATAATAGAACATAGGTGGAAGCTTAACATGGTCTGGATATATCAAAAAGATTGCCTTTTGTGGATAGCTCTCCTGCCAAACTACTGGAAACGTCCTGATACTACAGGAAATGATGAAAAACAGTGGTGAATGAAAGAGATAGGATCCTGGGATTAGATTAGGATGCAGCAGACCTAGCAAACTGGTGTCATAACAAAGGTTATGAAGAAAGTTGATCCTAGTCTAGGTATTGTGTACACGAAGTACTTCCATTAAGCCAAAACAAATTATCAAATATTTATTGAACACCTAGCTGCCTAATATACAGATACAAAGTCTTCCTTTGTACCAAAGCACCACGTATACTAAGGTGATGCAGCTTAGAAACCCGAATCAGAACACACAATTCCATTTAGCTAACATTGCCCTTAAAAGGATAGGGATACATTGTACATTGTCTGCTTACCCTGTGTAAAAATTTTACGTATATTGTTTTTCTTAATTTTCTCAATTTTACAGATAGGGAAATCAAGGCTTCGAGGGTCTAAGTAAGTCATCTGAGTCTGTATAGCTAGAAAGTGGCAGAACTGGAATTTAATCCTCCAAAACCTTGATCTCATGGCCTCATGCCTGTTTACTCTGCAAATAATTGCGGCAGTGCCCTTTAGTCTGCTGTTGATGTTGTATCGGGAATGTTCATACTGACAGCATTTGCAAAATACCCTCCTGGATGTTTGTAAGGCTATGTCTGTAGCTTCCTTTTCTCTGTGAATATATCCTGCATTCATTTCCTCTTGATTCCTCGAGCATGAGATAAAGTAAAAAAATGACTGATTTTTACTTGTTATTGAAAAAACACAATCACCATGGAGAAAGGGAAACATTCGAACAAATAGCATTCTCGGTTCCTTTACTCTATTTACACCAATCTGTTGGACTGATTTCTTCATGAAATTGAACAGTTATTAGAATGTAGTACAGACAGTTTACTTTCCCCCAACCTCTGAATTAATATGATTAATGAATATAGTTATTTTTTGTTGTTGTTCTGGCATTTTAAAATGGAAGATAAAGTTTTTATGTGCTAGGCACTGAAGTAAGTGTTATCTTATTTCTATTATTAACATTCGTTTTTCACAGTTTGGAAACTGGCTTAGAGAGGTTAAGTAATTCATTCAAGGTCAAACAGCTTGTACTTGCTGAAGGTCGACATTGCCAGGTTTTCACCCAGGCTGTGTGATTCCAGAGCTCTTGAATTGTACTATGCTCTCTCCCAAATTCATCTGGGCACCCACAGAGTGATATATTTTACTGATTCAAATTACACTAATATATTTAACATTTTCCTCAAAGATCTTTGCAAAAAGTGTGGGGAAACAACCACAATCAAGCAGTAGTAGAAGTAAATGGAGCATGTGGAAAGAGATGAAAAGAGAAGCCAGTTAACAAGGAAAGAAGTGTGGAGAGGGACTAGGGAGAGCCAGGATCTTAATCTCTGACTGTCACTGCATAAAGCAGGGAGTTGTGTTGATGGTTTAAAGAGAATTTGGCAGAGAGTTACACAGTATGGGCCACTGCCTACAGAGTGATGAGACATTTATTGTTTGGCTGGTGTGTGGCTTCTGCAAGCCTCTTCTAAAGAGAAGTGTCAAAAATGGTGGAAAGAATGAGACTAGAGGACAGGCTTTTAAAGTGATTAATTGAAAAGTACTGCATTTGTTTGACTACATTCGTTTTTAAAGTGATTAACTGGAAAGGGCTACATTCATGTAAGTGCTGGTAAGATGTATAACAAATCATTTGAATCCCTTTATGGTGCTGCCTCATACAAGCCTGGTCCGGTTACACCAGATTATAACAACTGGTCCATATGGAGCATGGGTCTAATAAGGTTACAGTTATCTAGGTCTCAGAGGCTGTCTATTTACAATGGAGGATGTGTTTTCCACCTGACCATGATCAGCCAGCCACCTGCAGGACACTGGTGACAAAGAAATTGAGTGAGAGAGCATATGCAAATCCATTGCCATTCTTACACAAAGGCTTGCAGATATCTTGCCAGTGTTCAATAATTTGATCTTTTTTGGTATGTAAGCAAATATTTATTGAGCACCTACTATATGTTGGGTTCTCATCATGAAAATAACTATAGATATTATTAATTTAGGCATGAATTGGGCAGCTTTTGGGGGGAAATGTCTCTCACATTGATCTTTTCCTGCTTTTCCTGTTTTATTTGTTACTATCTTAGACCAGAACCTCATCATCTCACATCAAGACTGTTGTAAAAGCCTCCTAAAATGGCATAGAATAAAAAATAATAAACAGTTTTAGGGCTGAAGGGATATGATTTAGTTCAAATCAATGATAGGACTTGAACAGACTCTGCCAGAGATTTAACTGCCTTAAATCATTGCCTTTATCATGGTGTTCATCTTTCTCTTCAAGAATACTTAGGGTTTGCCCACTGAGTTTAATTCACTGCATGGCATTAAGGTCCCACTTTGCATTGTGGCCCCATTCTAAATGTCCAGTCTCATTCCTCTTGGTTTCCCAAAGCACAACCTCTCCTTTAGTCAAGCCTAACTCCTTACAGTTGTCTCCTCCTCTGTGGTACTCAGGTCTGCCTCAAGACTTTCCTCGTGCTATTCCTTTCTTCGTGAACATCTTTCCTCTTCTTCCAACTGTCTAAATTCCACCCCTCCTTGAAGAGCCCTCGATTTCTGCCTCTCCATTGAAGGCTTCTTGACTGTTTCAGTCTTCATTAATGATCTCTCTTTGGACTGATAGTATGATCACAATGTGTCGCACTATTTAGTACTTAATTATAGAATTTGGGTATTGAAAAGGACTTTAAGATCATCCTCAGTCTATGCATGACTCCCCTCAACCACAGCCCTCTAATGAGGTTTTGCTCGGCACTCACTTATTTAGGCAGATCTCATCATCAGAGCAAGTGTAGGCACTCTTCCACAGAGCAGTCTTTTATATATTTGAAGTCACCTATCCTATCTCTAATGAGCCTGTTCAGGGATAAACATTTCCATTTCTTTCTATTGTTTCTTCTACTGCCTCAGGAACCATCACCATTCTGGCTAATTTCTTCTATATACTCCCACACTTTCTATATTCTTCATAAAGGTGGGGCCTAGACCACTAACATGGGATAGAGAAAGCCTATTTCCTCACTTTTTCTAATATCTGTTCTATTTATGAAACTCAAGATTATATTAGCTTATTTTTTTTCCTTTATTCCAGCCAATCACTTTTTTTAGTCATGTTGTTTTCTGCCAAAACCTCTGAATCATTTTCTACGTTGTCTGCTGCTAAACTATACCTCTCCCTTCAACCTATGCCTCTGTGATGACCATTGTGTTTTGTTTTGTTTTGTTTTGATTAAAGGGAAGAACCTTACATTATTCATATTCTATTTAGTATTATTTGGTTGAACCCATCATAAAGCCTTTCAAGATCCCTTGGGATACCAATTTCATCATATGTTGGATCTGCTATTCCTCTTACCTGCTTGTCATACACAAATTAAATAAATGTATTTTTCCAAAAACTCTCCAAAGTCATCTAACATCATATGTTGGATCTGCTATTCCTCTTACCTGCTTGTCATACACAAATTAAATAAATGTAATTTTCCAAAAACTCTCCAAAGTCATCTAAAAGTGGTTTTAGAAGAGGCTAAGGACGGAGTCAACTATGAGGTCTCTAAGGGCAGAGACTATCTTGTTCATTGTTGTTCCTTCTGCTCATTACAGAGTCAGGGAAGTCTTTGTGAAGGAGATGAAATTTAATCTGTGAGATGACCAGTAAATTCATGAACAATTGGAGTTGACTAACCTGGAAAAAATTTTTCTTTTCATTCCCTCTCTTCTCATTTTAGTTGTGTACAGTAGTTTATGGTATATAATCATAAACTATGTTATGTTTATGGCAAAGTAGATAAATTGCCACTAATTAGAATAAATAATGGTAGCCATGGGCAAAAATGTTTTATTTGATAATATATAGATTGTGAGGATATTAACAGGCTTTTAATGTATAAAGAATGGCTCTAATGGAAGAAGACCCATTATCAATGTTTTCAATGATAGTACATGTGTCCTTTCACCAAGTTTAGTTACAGTTCTCATAAAACAAAACTAATCTTTGAAATGCTTGGTAAATATGCCGATTCTGAGTACAAATGAATCCACCACTTCTGAAGGCTTGGTGTGGGCTCCGATTTAGGTCTCCAATACATGTCCAGTGATTTTTGGTGCCCTTTTGAGAAATACACCATTTGGCATGATCCTGATAAGAACTGAAATAGGATTGTCGAGATATCTTAATTGCTTTGATATTGTAGACATGGTAAGGAAGGGAGCAGTTTGAAGGAAGCTCTTGTCTCTTTCGCTGCCAGGTTTCTGTTAGCAAGTGTGACTTCAACTGTTGAGCCATCCATGCTGCAAAGATGTCTAGGTTTTATAAGGAGAAAGATAGTGAGATTGGTATTTACACTTAGATAAGTCCCTGAAAATATGCTCAGGAATGGAAATCATCATTCTCTCCTGAATATGGATGCCACAAACACAATAACAACAACAACATAAATGAGATAGTGGATGGGAAAACATTTTGTAAAATGCTAAGTGATATGCAAATAAAAGTTATTATCATCATTCTTAGGATGGTGTTGGTGTCTGCAAACATCTACTGTTCCATAAAAGCAAAGGAATGATATACATTTTTGTCCTGAAAAGACCTTCAGAAAGAATAATGAAGTAATCATGGGATAGTTTCTAGGGATCATTGTAAGCCATGCTAAAATGCCTAGATTTTCCTGAAATCTATGGAGAATTTTTAAAGGAGTATTAGTGGAGGATTAATAGAAACTGATTTATGATTATAAATATTAATTGAGAGGCAATGAGCAGTATGAATTGGATAGGGTGGGTTAGAAAGGAGTTAGGGAAGGAATAAGGTCATCACAACAACTGACAATAAACACAGGTCTGTACTGTAGTGGTGGCAGAGAGTTTGGAGAGGATAAAATAAATATGAGGGTCACTAAGGACATGGAACTGACTGAATTTGATGGTTTGTTAGAGGAGTGAGAAAAAGAAGAGATCTAGAATGCCTGGGTGACTGCAGAATATGAGAAAAAGAGTAGGTTTATCGGGGATGATGATGAGTTGATTTTGGCGTGTTGAATTTGGTGTGGTGGTACTACCTCCAAGTGGAAATGTCCTATGTACCGTTGAATACATCACCTAGTACAGAGATCTGGTGTGGAGATCCAGACTTGGGAATCACCTGAGGGCATGCTGGAATCGCCCAGCATGGGTATGTAGAATGACATAAGGAAGAGCAGAGTACTACATGGCAACCCAATCACCTAAGGAGTAGTCAGAGGAGGAGGACCTGGCAGAAGACACTTAAAAGAAGTGGGGAGAAGACCAAGAGACTGTGTACTCCCCAAAATCAGTGAAGGGGAGTGTTTCAGAAAGGAAGGGGTTTCATCAGTGCCAAATTTTGCAGAGACTCTATCCTGTTAGTTTTGAATCTGTAGGTCTAACATAGGGCTTAGCAAGTAGTAGGCATTCAGTAAATTTTATTCAATGTGTAAAGGAAGGAAAGAAGGAAATAAGCAAGGAAGATAGCAAGGTCATCTAAGACAGTCACTGGTGACTGGGCAGAGATTGAAGTGTCTACAGAAAGAAGCAAGACTGCAGTGAAGGAGCACTGAGCAAGTGAAGGTCCTGAAGAGTTTTTTAAAAAAGAAATTTGGAGAAAAAAGGAACAACAGAAATTTAGGAGATTTAGAATTGAGAGAGGGTTTTTAGTCATGAATGCTATGAGGAAGGAGCCTGTGGAGTGAGAGAGTTGAAACAGAAGAGGGAAGAGAGTTGAAGCAGGAGAGATCAAGTAGACAAATCAAGGTATTCTGAAGCTACTGCAGGTTCCAGAGCACGGGGGGCACATCTCTTCTGTTGGGATGGGAGAAAACCCGGTTAAAAGGAAGGAAAACAGATAAGATTGTTGGAGGGGTCAGGGTGCAATATAAGTGGTTTCTCTCTAGTGATCTTTGTTGTCTTTATGAAGGAGAAAGTGAAGCTATGAGTGGGGGGGCAGGGTCGTTTAAAGGACTTGAGAGTAAGGAAGCTTTAAAATCACTGTGTAGGCAATGGAGGAAGAGGAGACGGCTGTGGCTCCATGCCCAGCAGAGGCTGGAAACTGAGCTTCCCCTGGCTGCCTTGTTGCGAGATATTTTGTGGTCAGATCAGCAACGCTCCTATTCAAATGGAGCAGGAAAATGTTTGAATTGATCCTTGACTTTCCTCTTTCCTTTTTCCTCCCTTCTCTTCTATTTCTCTTCCCCTGAGTAATCAGAATATTTCCTCTAAGCAATCCATAGCAAGTCCAACAGCAGAGTTACATAGCATATTGTTTGTCATGGTCTTTCATACCATCGAGAAAATAATCAGACTTTGCAAAATGGAGGAAGTTTTGTCCCTGGGCTGACTGCAGAGTGGTGAGATGCCGATCAGGGATCTCTGATGAATGAGATTTAGCGCACAGCTGGGGCATGTGAACGAGCTCCTGGCGAAAGGTGGCCGGGATGGAACAGCTGTAGATGTTTGGGTTGCAGACCAAGATCTGAGAATCTGAATCAAGAAACAGTAAAGAAGAGTTGAGAATTAAAACACAAATGGAAATACCTGTTGTTAATATTATAGATCTTGTTGTGGATTAAAGAACAAGACAAAACAAAAACCTCAAAATACAAGTATTCCCTTCTTTAAACCAATAGCCTTCAAATGACTTTTAGTTAAAATAGTTGACACCTACTGAGCACTTCCTGCTTTCCAGACATTGTTCTATTAGTTTTACATGGTTTTACTCATTTAATCCTTACTTTATGGATGAATTAACTAAGAACTTACTTTATACACCCAATGTTATAAAGCTTGTAACTAATGGAGTTGATACTTGAACCCAGGTAATTTGGCCTTGGAGATTATGTTTTTCTCCTATATGTGCATATACGATAGTAGAGAACTCCTTGTACTGATCATCCAGCTTCAAGAATAATCAACTCATCAGCATGCACGCCTATTTATGTGATACTCAGCTCTCTAATCATTACATGAACTCAGCTGGCTAGACTAGGGCTTAACTTGGGTTAGAAGCTGTGTGATCCTTGCCATAAGGTAGAAACTTGATGAGAAATATTTTCTAAACCTCCTGTGGCTAGCGGCAAGTCACTCTTCAATGCTACTAAGCAATCTCCTCAGTAAAAAGTGATTGGGGGCCAGCCCGGTGGCGCACTGGATAGTGCGCCGCTTGGGAAGCGCGGCGGCGCTCCCGCCCGAGGGTTCGGATCCCACATACAGACCGGTTCCCGCTCACTGGCTGAGCGAGGCGCGGGAGCAACGCCGAGGGTTGCAATCCCGTTGCCGGTCCCCGGTCTGGTACGGGGGCAACACTGAGGGTTGCGATCCGTTGCCGGACACGGAAAAAGACAAAAGACAAAAAAAAAAAAAAAAGTGATTGGTAAAAGTGTTCCTACTTCTCCTCCTCCCCCACCATGGTTTGCCAAATCCAAGTATTTTTGGCTATTTGAGCTTGAGGTCTCAAAGAAAGATTATCTGGCTGAGAGGTGTCATGTTGGCAGCCTACAGGCAACATGTGTCTGTAAAATTTTAAAATAAGATTGAGCCCATATTTAAAAATCAGGAGTTCTCTCTCTCTCATACATAAACACACACACACACGTGCGTATGCACACACATACAACACATCCCCTAAGTTTCTGGATCCTTGTGGAGATCTGCAATCATTAGGCCTGTATTCCTGTAGAACCACAATATGATGGAGTTCACTGAAGCTATGGGAGAGTTAACACCCCAGCTCATCACTGTCCCCATTGCCCGTGTAACCGTCTGTCTGCTTCACCCATTTTTTTTACCTACCTGGCCCCTGAATACATTCAAAACTAATTCCCCTGATCAAGTTCAGTGACTTCATTGGTAGACCAGGAACTAAGGCCCAGTAAGTAAGCCTGCTGAAGGTTTCACCTTGTCAAAGCCACATTAGAATCTAGGCATCAGAGGGCCTCTAAGTAGATAAATAAGTGAAGTGACACATTTCTTAATACATTTCCAAATCCCTTCAACATTGCTACCTCCTTTTTTCTCTAGTATTACCTATTGCTTCATACTGGTTGTACTTGAAAGTCACGCAGATGCCACTTTGTCCATTTCGTCTCCCTGTGGGTGGATAATCATAGCCTTCTTCAGGAATTGGAGGAAACTTGGGAATGGAATGAATCAGCCAGAACCCCTGGACTCTGTTCCAGAGCAGTAAACCTACCAAAAATACATTAATACAGATAAATCAGAAACCAAACTCCTTTAAAAATAGGATTCAAAGCTGCAACATTTAAGCCCATTTATGCTTTAGGTTAATGTTTTATTAGACTAATAATCACAAGGATAATGCTCATTTTTCGAAGATTTCAAAAACAATTCAGGCACACACCATTATTGATGATAAGCCACCACAAAAGGGGAGCCAGGGCAGCCATCCTGTAAAGCGTTAAGAGGAATTTCATATTGAAACCACAAGGAAAATTTGTTCTGGCAGAATGCAAATTCGCTAAATTGGAATTTGACCTTGTTAAACTATACTGTCACCTGGCAAGCTTCAGGTGGTGTCTTTGCTGCTAATTGGCTAAGCTATTTTCAAAAGCTGTCTAAAAAACAGAGTTGAAAGAGAAAATATCAAATGAAGAAATGTATTTGCAATAATTTGTGGTAAGAAATTGATGCTTATTTATTGGCAGAAGAGTCACCCAATTATACAAGCCCAATGAAAGAGGGATATAACTGTATCCCTACAAGGCAAGTTGAGAAGTTAACTGCCCCTTTAGACTGAGTATGTGTCCTCCAGTTACCTCTTAGTTCAGCCCACTTCACTTGTTGACATCACTTGCCTGCCTCCTGAACGTATTTGAATTTGGAATCTTCTTTTTTTTTTTTTTTCTTTTTGTCTTTTTTCGTGACTGGCAACGGATTGCAACCCTCAGTGTCGCGCCCGTACTGGGCCGGGACCAGCAACAGGATCGCAACCTTCGGTGTTGCTCCCGCAGCTCGCTCAGCCAGTGAGCGGCCGGTCTGTATGTGGGATCCGAACCCTCGGCGGGAGTGCCGCCGCGCTTCCCAAGCGGCACACTGTAGCAGTGCGCCACCGGGCCGGCCCTGACAATAATGTTGATATTTTTAAAAACTCAGTGGCATAATTAAAAGCAGGAAAGGACATCCCATCTCCTTAAAAAAGCCCCTTGCTTTTCTCTCAGAAAAAAAAAAAAGTCAATAACTGAGTCTCTCACAGTTGCTTAATTACTTGATGTAACCTGATAACATTTTTAAAAAATGTACAGCATAGTCTGTGTAGCATTCTGGACTAGTGTGTTTAGGAATGTCCAGGAGAGTAAGCTGTGTCCTTACCTTCATTTTCCGTAATTGACCATAGCTACACAATGACATTCTTATCACCATGCTTCTCTGGAGGACTCCAGCAGAGTTCGTTGGTCTATGCACCTGCATTGAATGTGTTAAGGAGGCCATTTGTGTACCTTTTGGGTGCAACATGGAGGGATGCTGGGAAGATCTGCTGAGGAATTTTATTCTTTATGATACATGAAGTTTGTTATTCTAACCAGGAGTGTAACAGCCAGCTAAGGTTAAGCAGGTTGTAGCCTCGTGGAAAGAGAGGCTACTGATAAAGGGAAAAGGTCATGGACTTAAAAATATGTAGATGTGGGCCGAGCCCTGGTGCACTCGGGAGAGTGTGGCGCTGGGAGCGCAGTGGCGCTCCCGCCGCGGGTTTGGATCCTATATAGGAATGGCCAGTGTGCGGGAGACACCACACCGAGGGTTGCGATCCCCTTACCGGTCACGAAAAAGACAAAAAAAAAAAAAAAATGTAGATGTGTTTGCCTTGAACAGCCTTATTCCTTTAATACATGTTGGGTATTGTTTTGAGTATTGGATGTTGAACTAGAGGGGTCTCTGTCCCCAGTCCAGCAGGGAATATAGACAGGCAAGTACAGATGTTCCTCAACTTAGGATGGGGTTACATCCCAGGAAACCCATAGTAATTTGAAAACATTGTAAGTCAGAAATATATTTAATACACCTAATAGCTTAGCCTCACCTACCTTAAATGTGCTCACAACACTTATATTAGCCTACAGTTGGGCAAAATCATGTAACACAAAGCTTATTTTATAATAAAGTACTGAATATCTCATGTAATTTATTGAATACTGTACTGAAAGTGAAAAACAATGGTTGTATGTGTACCATTGCAAAGTCGAACATAAGTTGGGACCATCTATGTAGGCAACAGCAATATAGTTTGATAAATATTATTAAAATGAATGGAAGGTTCTTATTTGCAAAGGCAAGAGAAGGGAAACAATTCCAAATGTAACTCAGTTGTTGGCCTTGGTCACCGTGACACTTGAGATTTAAAACCAGTTTCTCTGATGTTGCATTCCATACTATTCGAACTTCAATTACAGGTCGGGGGTAGAGGAGTTACATTCTAACAGTCATTTCTGGGATGTAATCCCAGCTTCCAAAGACCGCTCAGTGTCATACTGATATCACCCACTGCTGTTGCTCTCTTCTTTTGGCTCCATGATAGTCGGATACGGAAATCAGCCCCTTTTCTGTCATTTTCGTCCCAGAGCCAATCCCTGAGGCATCGTGTGTGATCATGTAGGAAACACTGAATAGTTTTACATCATCACCACAATGCCCTACTCCAATCTCCCTCCATATTTCTTACTCTTTTAAATTCCTAACTCCCTTCCACCCCTTTTTTGTTTTGCGGAACAGTTTAGCTCTCTCTTTCTCCCTCCTAGGCTCTGGGGCTATCTTTGCACCTCCAGAGATCATTATTGTATTCTGCCAAACTAAGGACCATCTACTCCAAGTAAGGTAAATGACAGAGGCTTTACAGTGTTACTCTTTCTTTTTCCCTCTCCCAGAAGTCTCTGAGATGGAGAAGGGAACAATGCAGGCATTTGTTTTCGCTGATAGGTTATGTTCCTTCCCCATCCCCACCTCCAACCTTGGAAAGCAGAAATAGCTGCAGGCAGTATTCACTTTACATAATAGTCTGTTTATTCAAAACAGGGTTGCTGTTGAGATTTAAAAATTTTTTTTAAAGCACCTGAAACAGTGTTTGGCACATCATATGTACTCCAACAGCCTACAAGTAAGTTTTAACTTTGTAACTTGGCTCTGAGGCTGGTCTTAATGGCAGGTGAATAAAATGAATAGTGCCACATACAGTGACAGATCCACGCACATTTTGAATAAATACTCAGATACACATGTGTAATAACGCTAGAGGCTAAAGCAGTATTACTGTGGGCATTAAATTACTTGATATATGTAAAGGATCAGCAGAGACCCCAGCATATTATAGACATTTGAGTTATTTTATATATTTACTTTTCTGTAAGTTATTGTTAGGAAATGCATGCATGAGTATAAATTGCTTGAGTTTATTGTCACCCCTGGTTGGAGAGCAGTATGTTGTCACTGAAAAGCAGCATATGGTGCCTGGAACATCTGGAGGCTGCCCATATTGAGCCAGCAGGCCACTTACCTATGTCTGTTTAGTTGGTTAGCTTATTGCCTGATGAAGTCCAGATAGCAGGTTTAATCTCCATTCAGGCAAGTTAGTTCTAGGGCCTTGAACTAAATAAAGCCTAAGCTCTCAGTCTACCATTTTGAAAATAATTAATTAAAAGGAAGACCAAGTAGAACCCTTTTCTTGGGTCAACACCACTCATTAACACCACGATGTAAACAACCCATAACTCATGACATATTGATCACCGATCTGTATTTGCCTTGTAGCCTTGTAGCAGAAAAGGGCTCTTCCTATTTCTATCAAGCAGATAATTTAAGTGAATTGGCAGAAGTTTTGGCAGCCCCAAGACTTCAATATACAATTAGTTCACACCTTTTCCAGTAATACCATTGGGCATGGTGCCAAGTGAACCAACCATATGGCATTGCTGCAGAGTACGATGAGATATGTTCTAAGGTCTTGTTCAGATTGATTCCGATAGTTGTCCTGGGCTAGTTCTGAGCTAACTGACTTCAAGTTGCTAGGATTGGAGGTTGGGTGAGTGAGTAGGAAAAAGTTTTTGGAAGCTTTGGATTGCTTTATGCATTTTACATGATTCAGATAAAAGATTAACTAACATACCTTGGAGGCATATGCTTCATAGAGCTGTTGTAATGTCCTTCCCAAAACACTCCCGGTGGTATTCATTAGGTGCTCACTCCTCCTCCAGCTTTGGATTGTAGAGTCTAGGTACAAGTACTCTAACCCAGTCTCTCTACTTTCCTTATCTTGCCTTTTAGGTAATTTATAAAAGGTAAACCTAATAAGGAAATAATTATGAGTTAATAACATTTATTGACTGCTTTTCTAGTGGCAGTCAATGTGTTAAACAAAAATATCTCTCTTATGTTTCACAAAAGACTGCTAAGGAAAGGGATTTGCTCATGTATCCCGCTCTCTTCACCCTGATCTTCCCACCTCCCCAGAGAAGGAAATGTAATTCTGACTGGATATGTTCTAAGATGTCAATGGGCCTAGTGGATGAGGTCTTTGTGGTAGAAGTCCATGAACATTCACAGTGTCTTTCTATGTTGCTTCCACAGTCCATATGGCTGCAGTGGGGAGAAAGCCAAGGCCCAGACCTAAGACAACAGAAGTCTTGGATTCTCTTTTGCCATAAGTGCCTGGTACTCTTTGCAGCTGCCTGTCTGGGTATGAGATTTGGGTTTGGGCTTCGGGGTAAGAGGAGGCTCACCTGAGCCTCTGGCCTAAACCACATTCTTCAGCTCAGTTTATCACAATGCTCTGCATTGACAGTTCAGGGCCAAGACCAACTAATTAAGTAGGCCCTTTCTTTACCATTTGCTTCCTGTTTGTATTTCTCCTTTGGGTATCTCACAGGGAGGAGAGGTGGTTGGGCCCATATAGCATTTAGGCATTCTTGGATCACCCAGCCCAGGGTTTCTCAGTGTGCTTTATTCACATTATGAGCTGATCATTCTTTGTCGTGGGAACTGTCTGCATTGTAGGATCCCTGGCTTCTCCCTATTATGTACCAGTAGTACCTCCAACTTGTGGTAATCAAAAATGTCTCCAGACATGTCAGAAGTCCCCTGAGGGCAAAATTGCCCTCAGTTGAGAACCACTAGTCTAACCAAATACTTTTTAAGAGCATGAACCCCACAATTAACCCCTAAACAGTCACAGTGAATA